TAAACATTGTTATATCTTCTTAATATGGAATATTATTTGCTTTGCCTTGCTGTCTCAGTTATATCATGTTAGATGTTTTATTATTATTATAATAATAAATTACCTATGTCTATAAAATTTAGGATTTCTTAGACATGACATAAGTATATCTGTATACAAGTATGAAAAGTTGGATTATAAATAAATGGACTGAGGTAGTTTAATGAAAAGATTTTCCATTATTTGCTAAATTACTGTCTTGTAAAATACGCTGCATTGCATATCTCGAGCTCATTATATTATCTGAATATGTCAGATTTTCCTCTCATAATACTATTTATTTTCTAAAGAAACCTCTTAGATTTATTAACTTTCCGTAGGGCAAGTTATAGTAATCGCAAAAAAATCGAAAATGAAAATTTGTATATATCTTTACGTTTCAGTGGTTTCTGAACATTTTGGCATATCTTAGAAAGAAATGGATGTATGTGTGTGTGCGGATACAAATTTTTGGCGAATATTTGCGATTTCTACTGGTCAGGAGACGTGCTGATCAGTTTTTTTGTAAAAGGAGATATGGGGCAAAAAGTACCATAAACGGTAACTTAGTTTAGCTTCGATATTTTGTCTCTATGCAGTTAAAGCAGTACGATTGCTTTGAAAAAAAAGTTTAGAATTTCCAAAATATTTCAAAATTAAGAAAACATATTTTTTCAAAAGTCATTTTTTTTTTTTCAAAAAAACTAAATTTTTGTCAAAAATTTATAGTTTCTTAAAAATCTAATTTTTCCAAAGTATATTTTTTTCAAAAATGTTAATCTTTTTAAAAAAATAATTCTTGGTACAGGAAGTTTGAGCAATTTGCCTTAAGACACGATGCCATGCGCCCCACTAGTTTTATTAGCAATTAAAATAAAAACATTTAAACGCAACAAATTAAGAAACATCAGGATTGCGCAAATATTTCAATTAATCTTAATTAATTTTAATTGAAATTTTAGCGAGATTTGCGAAGAGAAAGTTTAAGTATTTTCGCGATTAGATATGTGCAAAAAATGAGGTCAAACATTCGGCTCGTCATTGCTGGCAAAAGTTTATCGACATTAATGTGCGCACCCGAAGATCATACGATATACTAAAATAGCAGCTGAAAATTAGCGCACTAGTGAAAGCTCAAGCTTTTTTGCGTCTGCATTTCGAGGTCATTTATTCGCCATTCTGCATAACTGCAATCTCTCGAATACCAAAACACGTGCCAATCGATACTAGTAAAGTTTTTACACAAAGTACGTAGTTTGCGAAATACATGGTGGCAACACGCCAACTTCCTATTTTCATGGACAAATGTATTAAGTATTTTGATATGACTATTAAAGTGTTAGAATAATTCTATAGGTCAATTTCATTTAGGATTTGATAGTACGTGACAGACTGGTGATCGCACCATTAAATTGGAGCTAGTCTTACCAGTGCACCTGATTCTCGGTTAATGCGAAGTAGGGTCAAAGTCGACGTCAGAATGCAGTGTTATTCAACACGATGATATATATATATATATACTCGTATATATATATATCTTATATTCTCACACCAATAAACATCTATAGCTCCAGGTATTTTCAATTAGAATTTTTAGTACATAAATGTATAATTTGGTTCTTAATGAGTGTTTAATTAAAAAACTTGTGATCAAAGGTCAAAAGTGAATGCTTTCAATTTTCAAATAATTCAAAAATGTATAAATGTACAATTTTTTTTTAATAGCTCCTGGACAAAAGATCTTCCTACATCTGCATATCATGAAATTATGGGACCGATTCTGTCGAAAATGTTATGGCAAGGCCATGTTACACTTCAACTTCCATACATTATTCTACTGAATCATACTGAATACTGTCAACATATCATGTATTTGCTGTGTATTCAGGCGTTTTACACATAAACAGCAACGTCACTCTTATGTTATGAACCTGAGTCAAAAAGACCCTGTTATCTAACATCGGTTTTTTGACATTGGTGCGGTTTCTAGGTCATGTTTTCTATCTGACAACCTGAGAAAATCACGTGACTGCAACTACATGGCTTAAGTCAATATTTAGACCGAATTTGTATGGAAAGTCCTTCATGACATCGCCTTGCCATAACAATGGTCTGTTATGAGGCAGAATCGGTTCATATATGTGAAATATTAAATAATTTTTCACATATATGAGAAAAATTGTCTTTTTTTTAAAAAATAAATTTTTAGATTGATATATGTATGCATGCAAATAATATTGCTTTGTTAATAATATTTTCGCCTACTTGCAACAATTGAATAAAGAGTTCATAATATTTCTTCATTCCAAAAATTATGCACCATTAATACAATATATGTCTGTTATTTTAGAATTTATATTTATTGTTAATGATACATAAATTTAATTTAATTTATTCCAATATTTTTATAACATAAACCTTCTTTAAATTTATAATCAAGATTGAATTATTATATTTGCTTAATTATTATATTTGGTTTTATAATGTGCTATTATACGATTTGATTTGATCATATAAAATTTTAATTATTTATTACTTTTAATTTTGAATCACCAGTTATATTTACTCTATATAATTTTTGCAAATATGAAATATCTATAATTTAATTAAAATTAAATAAAAAGCATAATAAGTATGAAGTAAAATATTGCTATCAAATCATTGGAATACAATTAGATAAATATTAGATAAATTGAATTAAAACAAATATAATATATATAAAAATATTACCATATATATCAAATATATTAAAATTAGATCAGATTGTTCATCAAATTATCCAATAAAAATAATATCTATAGAATCATTGTACATTAGATTAGATACATTGAAATTTGATTAGATAGTTATTGAATTGATGTAAATCTTTATATAATTCTTGTGATAAAAAATCTATTTATATTATTACATATTTACTATTGCTCTCAATATTTAGTAAGTATATGGTCCATTGAGAGAACATTTAAATAAAATGTGCATATCAAATAAGATTTTTGATAAAAATGTCATTTAACTTGAAATTTTTTTTTCTTTCTTAGAATTTAAAAAAAATACAGGGTTTCACAGGGTTCATACCCCCCGACTCCACGAACTGATCAAAACGATTTTATAGTACGTATAAAAAATTATAAGTTTTGTGTGATGTGTGTAATAAAAATTGCATTTTTTTAACTTTATTTAAGTCATTTTATCCATTTTAGAACCTTAAGAAATTCTTTATTATTATTATTACGCACTGATTTATTTAATTCATTATATATTTATTTAGCATTTCTAGATATTAAATAAAAATATATGATATATCAAGTGTATTTTTACATGCAATGTGCATAAAATTCAAAAATATAAGGGGGCGTCTATTAATCACGCGAGGCTTTAAATAGAGGTAGAGGTTGGACACAAAATTACAAAATATCACGAAAAGGAAGGGGGGAGGGTGTAGTAAGTTATAACCTGTATTTATTTTTTACTAAAAACAACGTTATGTTAACAGACAGTGGGGGGTTGTTTTCAAAATTATCAGGTTTTACGAAAGGGTGAGAAGGAGTCTAAAAATCCTTTAAAATCGATCACGTAATTGATGGACGCCTTCTAAGCTTTTTGATGGTGTATTTGATGAAAATGTCAATTAACTTTTTTCAATAACTAAATTTTGATGGTCATATGGTTATACATAGATATTATAATTGACTAGTGGTGCTCCAAGACAAATTGCTGAAACTTACCGTACCAAAACTTAAAATTACAAAAAAAGCCCTTAAATTTTATGAAAACTTTGAATAAATGAGATTTTTAAAGTTTTAAAATTTAAAAAAAAATACCGTTTACACTAGAATGACGGTGCGAGTCAATTTGACCCTTTTGCATTTTTATGTGATATATAATAACAATTACAAGTCATGTTTTTAAATATTTCTTTCGTTTTTCATAGCACAATGAAAGGTATACAAAAATTAATTCCTATTCCTCCCTAATCCCCAAATCCCTTACCTAAATCGACTCTCAGTCAGGCAAAATAGATATACAACCAACCTCCGCCATTCTAGTGTTTAAAAAAATGATTTTTTTACATATTTTGAATTTTTTTGAAAATTTTGAACTTTTTTTCAAAGCAATCGTGCTGCATTAATAGGTATCTTCTAAGGTATGCCAATATATTCAGAAACTTTTGAAACGTAAAGATATATAAAAATTTTCATTTTTCATTTTTTTGCGATTATTATAACTTACCCTACGGGAAATTAATAATCTGTTACATGTTACATGTATTTTATAACTAGTGAGGTGCATGGCATTGTGCCTTAAAGCAAATTGCTGGAACTTCCCGTGCCATAATTAAAAATCTTGGTATGTATGTATAGTATTAAAAATATGTACACATTGTTAAAATCTCTATAAAACATGACATTTTTTTCAACTTATTTTTATTGAGAGTCCATAACCGTTGAACCTGCCTTTCCAAAAATTTAATCAGTTCTTCATCTTATTAATACAAGTGTAATATTTTTTAAATCATTAAAATCGGACGCTTTATTCTCTTAAAAACTGAGTTACAGTTTTTGGCACTTTTTGTCCCGTATCTTCGGAACGGCTAGACCTGCCTTTGCCAAAAACTAATCAGCACGTCTCCTTATCTATACGAATCGAATGTTTTTTAAATTATTCAAATCGATTGATTGTTGTTCCCGAAATCGTCGACAAAAATTTGTATCCGCACACACACACACATCCATTTTTTCTAAGGCATGCCAAAATGTTCAGAAACCTCTGAAACGTAAATAAATATAAAATTTTCATTTTCGATTTTTTTGCGATTACTATATCTTACCCTACGGAAAATTAAAAAAAAGACTGACATGTATATTATAAAATCAATAATTTGTACCCAAATTTATTTTCCCAACAGTTTGAGAATCGCTGGCCGGTCGTAACTGTCATGGCAAAGCACAACGGCGCTCAACTGTCAGTTTAGTTTACGCTAGCACACGATCAGCTCCTACTTGCACGAGCAGCTGATTTACTAACATTTTAATAATGGTTTTAAGCACATTGTTATAATAAAATCTATTTTTATAAATCATGTATTTCATATATGTTAAATTAAAATTTCGTTCTGAGATCGATATTTAGTAAAAGTTCCTACAAATATAAAGGACACAGGGAAAGGCTTAGCTGGGCTGAAAGGTATGTGATTGTAATTAGTAATTGTGTTTAATACTGAAGTGTGAAATAATTGTTGTAAATGATAGGAAATGAAATATTGGCGTTTTTATTAATATTTAAATATTTAGTTTTCCAAAGTTAATTAATGGAAACTACCATTTCTACATAGCTTTTGTATTGTGGTCAAAAATCAATCCAGAAACTTTACTTTCTTTAGTGCACGTTATATGCTAGTGATAATTTTCTAAAGAATAAGTTTTCAATATAATTACTGATATCTTAGAAAGATTTATCTCCTAGTATAAAAATTACAATTTCTATTGAGTTCAATTAACAAATTATTTGACTAATTTGTCTTACAAAAGAGTTGTGTTGACAAAAATCATTATTATGTAAACAGTGATCTTCCTCAGCTTTATTTATGGTACAAAATTAAAAATATAAATCATACATAATTAGTTGAGCATACATAATTAGTTGACTTATGAATTTAATTAGTTGACTTATTTGAGTAATAGAAAGCATTCATTCTTTTGTTTTATTGTCATACTTTTGAAAAAACACATTTTAGCATTTTTCAAACTATTTCTCACTTTTGTATAAAACATAATATAATGAAAAGTATTATAATATGTCAGTAAATGAATTTTAATATCCGATTGTTTAGGATTATCTAACATAAGTCTACAAAAAAGCATTACATGGTGCTTTATTAAATACTTTATTATTGCATATGTAATAATGGAATTTAATTTTCCTAAAACCATATTTCAACAAAATATAGTTCAATAACACAAAAAAGCAGTTATTGTTGCATCAGGTTTCAATCTATTTATTATTTATGTGATGTTAATACTGTAGTTTTAATCTATATAATCAATGGCGTTAAATTTTTTACATTTCAATTCTTGTTTTATTACCAATCTACTTTCTTAATGTATATATTTCCTTTTCAGTTATTTTTGCTAACTAAGAATCATTGCCATGCAGAAGTGGTGGTTCCTAGAGGACCCCAGCAACCAAGAAAAACGCGACGCCTTCGGCATGGGTCGTGAAGAATCAAATGGTAGTTCCCGCATAACATCAGGGAGCTACCAAGAACGAACATGGCTGTTCAGATGCCAAGCCGATGTCCAGTTAGGAGAAATTGTGTGTATTACGGGTGACTGTGATGCTTTAGGTAATTGGGAATTTGAAAAGTGTGTAGAACTAATTCAAGAATGTGGCACAAACATTTGGTCAAGACGAATTAGTGTTCCTTTGAAACAGACAGTCAGGTTTCGGTACTGTATTGTGGCTGTAGACAGCATTGATCCTAATAGATATTATGTTAGAAGGTGGGAAACAATACATATACCTAGAGCTATTGAGTGTTACAATCAGCAAGATTTAGAAAATGTTGAGTTGCATACATTCGGCACTTATAATGGACAGACTAGGGAAGATAAAGGATGGTTGACGAGCGAAGTGGCTGTGCAGTTCAAATTGTTTGATAATCCTATTCAATTGAAGTCTAGACTGAATGGAAGACTATGCTATGTTAAGGTAAGAAATAATATTCACACATTTCTTATATATATATATATATATATATATATATATATATATATATACATATATATTATATTATTTGTATAAATATATATATTTGTATAAATATATATATATATATATATATATTTGTGCATATATTATATTTATACCATGATATATATATATATATATATATATATATATATATATAAACTTCAAATTTGTTTTTGAAAGATATTCTTGAAATGTATATTTGCAACCAAATATTCAAAATAAAAAAAATATGTAATTAAGTATTTACTGTGTACGTAATCAATTTTATCGATGTTACAATTTGTTAATCATGTGACTTACTATATAACTTTATTATTAAACTTTTATTTTATTTTATTTGTTTTTATTTACTGATTTTAATTTGTTAACGTGCTGAATGATGACACACATACAGTTCATACAGAAACGTACATAATAAATAGTTATTTATTCATTGCTATTTATTTAGACTATTTGGCTGCAAATCAACATTTTAAGAATATATATTTTTATATATGTACTAGATGACCCGACATGCGTTGCCCTGTACCCACATCTACAATTTTTTAATATCCTATACTAATATCTACCGTTTACCTAAAAATAATTATTTTTTCAATTACTCTACACACCAAAATGCATATACATCAATATGAGCAATGTTAAATATAAAACTGTCTCAATTCCCACACTATATTGGAAATTGAAGTCCTTTAAACGGTATAACAATTTCAGAAAAAAAATATAGTATCCATGATAAAAGTACAATATTACCTTGGATTTTTCCACCTAAAATAAATGCTCCAATAATGTTGCCTATACTTTTTATAATCTCGTATCATATTTTAACTGTATTTTAGTAATTATAACATTTAATTTACATTTTTCTTAGTAATAATTTAATATACATTATTACCAGGAACGCTCCTGGGGTCCTCAGGGCCTGTTTGCCATTTTTTTCTAAATTCTCCCCCCCTTATTATTTTACCTCTTTTAACAGTTTATTATTAAAATTATTATCATTAATTAATTTGTCATATCCTGTTCATATGTGTATCATTCAATCTACCATACAGATACTGTACCTGTTTATTATTTTAATTTCTGGCACATCTCAGCTGCTTTTTGACAATAACAACGTAGTGATTTAATTTTTCTTATTCATAATCATGAATTTATTATACATATTCTAATATTGTCTAGACTCATAACTAAATTGAAATTTTTCAGTCTAAAAAAATCCCTTAACAAACTTCAGAAAGATTTATCAAAATTTGTTTAGGAGGAGTATATTTACATACATCATTACAGATGAATTTTATATATATATAAGACTTATATATAAAATTCTTTTGTAATGATGTATGTAAATATACTCCTCCTAAACGATTATTCGGATTTTGATAAATCTTTCTGAAGTTTGTTAAAGGAATTTATCAGGATGTATATGATTATAAAAATATAGAAATAAATGGAAAAACTTGCAAAAAATGACATGTCATTGTTTGACACTGAAGATAATATTACATATATGCATATAAATACATATATCTTATATTATAAGTTGTATGTATTTATATACATATATGTAATATTTATCTAAACAAATATGTTGCATAAATTAACTTTTTAATTTAAAAGATAAAAAAATTGAAAACAAACTAATTTTTGAAGATTTTATGTATTAATAATGCAAAAAATGAATTTAAATACATCAGCAAAAAAGAAGATGATATAGAAACCATTTATGAAAAACTTATATGAAATATATAATTAACTTCCCAAAGGAGAAGTTTATGTTTTTTATTTTTTATTTTATACTAAGCGCACGATTTATTCAACAAATTTTAAAATTGATATTCATGAATATGAAATGATCATTATATGATGTCACAAAATTAAAAAAATGTTTACTTTTAATGCTAATGACCAATTTAACGCTTTGTTTAATGTTTGAAATGAAATAGATTGAAATGGGCTCGTTCTTCTACGTCACAGCATGTGCGTATATATTTTTTATCAATTCGTTCTGAATGTCGGGTCATATTAGTCATTACTAAAACTTTACAGAGTTCCTACAAGTTTATCACTTCAATCTAATAATCATAATTTCTTTGAAACTGAATGAAAATAGATTTTGTATAGGAATTATCTTACAATTAGGAGAACTTCTATTATATGACTTACAATTAACTTTCCGTAGGGTAAGTTATAGTAATCGCTAAAAAATCGAAAATGATGAAAATTTTTATATATCTTTACGTTTCAAAGATTTCTGAATATTTTGGCAGTAGAAAAAATTGATGTATGGATCCATTAGAAAAAATGGATTCTAATGGATGTATGGTTCATTAAAAAATGGATGTGTGTGTGTGCGGATACAAATTTTCGTCGACGATTCGGGAACCCCGATCAACCGATTTGAATAATTCGATTCGTATTGATATGGAGACGTGCTGATTAGTTTTTGGCGAAGGCAGGTCTAGACGTTCCGAAGATACGGGGCAAAAGCTTTAATAATTCAAAAAACATTTTACTTGTATTGACAAGATGAAGATCTGATTACATTTTTGGGAACGCAGGTCCAGCGGTTATGGACTCTCAATAAAAATAAGGCAAAAAATGTTATTTGGCGGTCAAAAATGTTTATTGGACATATGACATCAAATTATCAGAGATTTTAATAATGTGTACTGATTTTGTGTAAATAATTTTGGGTTCGGTACCAAGATTTTTAATTACGGTACGGGAAGTTCCAGCAATTTACTTCAAGGCACGATGCTGCCATAGATCCCATTAGTTTAAAATGTATCCAAAAATATAATATATCTGCTATAAAACGTTAATTAAAACCTGATTTATGCATTATTTTAATGATTGCCAATTTGAGTTGGTATAAAATATAATCAGCTTGATAAAATGATATTCTATTTATAAATGTTTAATTTTGTCTATAAATCTAAATTAGTATAACATAAATGTGAAGTTTTGCTTATTGAGAAACTGACTTTTCTATAAATAGTAAATTATTTTATTCACCTTTGTTCCGCTTATAGAATCTGATAATAGTACTTAAGACTATCATAAAACTAAAAATAGAAGAAAAATTTCATTCGAAATTTAGAAAACATATTATCACATAAGTTGAACTTACCGCCTTTATTTAAATATTTGTTTTTTGTTATTGAACTAATTGCATATTTGTTATTCCATTGTTATTAAAAGTTATTCCATTGCTCTACTTGTTTGTGCTATAACAAGAGTAAGAAAATACATTTTGGATTTATTCAAAAAAAAAATAACTGTACTTTAATCAACTGTTTTTGTTTTGGAATATATGTATATAAATTTTATTTCAATCAAAAGAATAAGAGTTCAGTCATAATTTAGTTTTTTTCGGTTACAAATTATGAAGTTTTTGTTAAATTATTAAAATTTTGGTAAATTATTATTTTGCATTAAAAAGTACTAATAAATCTAAAAATTAGTTATTAAATTAGTTGAAATTTATTATTGGCTAACTTCGTCATATTCACAATCAGTTTTTTAAATTTTTAATATATTTTTTATTGTCGTTTGATATTGCAAAAATTAGTGAAAAATGTACTAATTTTTGTAATTGCAAATATCAATAAAATATATTCAAATTAAAAAAAAAATGATTGTGGATATTATAACAATGTTAGTCAAAAGGTCTAACCTACTTTTAAACACATCTTAATTTTACTAAATTTAAGAAAACATTTTAGTTTTAAATTATAATCATTATTTAATGATGTCATAATTTAGCTATCGAATAGCAAATCAACATTTTAAAAGTTTTGGAACCTCAAATCCTAAACTGATTTTTATTTACGACGCAGACTGTCAGAAGATCTGGCAACATCGTTGTTTAGATCATCTGAAATTCGCATCGTACGATTTGCAAACTTTAGGCGAAGGTCTTTTTTTTTGCAACCCCGCTGCAAAACTGATCAAAAGTAGCGGACTAATTTTGGAAATTGGAGATTATATTATTATTTATATAATCACAACAATATTATTTTCTATTGTAATAATGAAAAAATACATTTGAAAACTAGCTGTAAGTGGAATTCTGTCTTAAGGCAATTAAGGCATCGTGCCTTAAGGCAAATTGCTGGAACTTCCCGTACCAAAAATTATTATTTTTTTAAAAACGATTATTTTTGAAAAAAAATTACTTTGAAAAAATAAGATTTTTGAGAAACTATAGATTGGACAAAAAATTACTTTTTTTTAAAAAAAAAATTTTTTAAAAAAAAAAAAATTAATTTTTTTTTTTTTGAAAAAAAAATTTTTTTTCTTTATTTTGACATATTGTGGAAGATCTGAACTTTCTTTTCAAAGCAATCGTACTGCTTTAACTGCATAGTGACAAAATATAAAGCGCGTAAGCCCCGCGTCGCCGTCTAACGCATAAGCAATTGGTACGGAACCCATAGGAATGTTAACAAAATGTATACTTATTGATAAAATCTCTATAAAATATCTGATAATTTGATGTGCATATGTCTAATGATCATTTTTGACCGCCAAACGGCTCATTTTTTTACTTTTTCCTCCATATCTCCGAAACCGCTAGACCTACCTTCATGAAAATGTTATCGATTCTTCATCTTGTCAATACAAGTGAAATGTTTTTTGAATTATTCAAATCGGACGCTTCGTTCTCTTAAAAACTGAGTTACCGTTTTCGGCACTTTTTGCCCCGTATCTTCGGAACGGCTAGACCTGCCTTCGCCAAAAACTAATCAGCACGTCTCCTTATCAATACGAATCGAATGTTTTTTGAATTATTCAAATCGGTTGATCCGTGTTCCCGAAATCGTCGACGAAAATTTGTATCCGCACATACATACACACACATACATACATACATACATACATACACACACACACACACACACACACACACATACATCCATTTTTTCTAAGGTATGCCAAAATATTCAGAAACC